AAATGAAGAAAAGGCAGATGGACATGCAGTCCAAAATTGGGATCAGGTGGTCTCAGCTGGAGAAACCGAAGCACCTGGAAGCTCAGTGTTTTTATTCTGTAGAGTTGAACTGAAATGCAGGATTATGGCATAAACTGGATCAAGGAGACAGTAGGAGCACCATGGCTCTTCAAATAAGTTAAAAATGGAATTACATAAGATCCAGCAATCTTCTACTGGGTGGTATATATCTGCACTCTGATATTCATGACAGTTCGTCATTCATTAAATTCAATATAGAGAGGTCGAGCTGGTGCCCGCATGGTGCCTTCACCCCTATGTTCTAGTCACTTTGGTGTGGGAAGGTACTCTGCATGTTACAGAAAGAAAAATCTGGACACCAACCCAGCCACAAAATCCTCTATCTACAATCTGTCCCCCCTCAAAATACGCTGCTGAAATGGTGGCACAGAACTTGTGTCAGCGGCCAACTGATGTCTGGTTTAACTTGAGACCCATATCAGGTGTGTTAGCCAGGGTTCTCTGGAGCCACAGAACTTAAAGAATGAATCTCTCTTTCTCTCTCTCTCTGGTATGATGGTATATATGCCATCATAATTGGAGAGGGGCCCCATACCCTACACTGTCCAGATGGCAAGGAACTAGAGACTGGATAATCCAGAAAACTAGGGTAGAAACAAACACTGCCAGAAAAAAATCAATGAAATGATTCATAATGACACTCTGCTATATTCATAGGTTGGTGCCTTGTCCAGTCATCATCAGTGAGGCTCCATCCAGCAGCAGATGAGAGTTGGTGCAGAGATTCCTGCAGTCAGACATTGTGTGGAGCAAGAGTCTAAATCAGAGGTCTCTATTAGGTCCCTGTCCTAGGAGATTGGGAAATCCAGCAGAAGAGATTGAGAAAAGACTGTGGTAGTCAGAGGGCATGGAGGACATCATGAGAACATGGCCCATTGAACCAACTAAGCAGGGCTCTACGGCCTCACAGAGACTGGAGCAGCAAACAAGGGGCCTGCGTGGGTCTGCACCAGGTCCTCTTCCTATGTGTTATGGCTGTTAGCTTTGTGTTTCTGTGGGACTCCTAACAGTGGGAGCTGGTGTATTTATTACTCATTTTCCTGCTCTTGGGACTCTTTTCCTCTGGGTTGCCTTGTCCAGCTTCGATACGAAGGCTTTTGCTTTGTCTTACTGTATTGTGTTTTCTTGTTTTGCTGTTGTCTCTTGGAGGTCTGCTCTTTTCTGAAGAGGAAATGAAGTGTGAGTGGATCTGGGGGAAAGGGAGGTGAGGAGGTGGAAGGAGCAGAGAGAAGGGGAACTATGTTTGGATGCATTCTATGAGAGAAGAATCTATTTTCAATCACAAATGTCCTTACAATAACACTGTCTTCTTACACTGTTTAGACAGAGAAACTAAGGCTCAGAGAAGTTGAATAAACCAAGAACTACAAAGGCTTGCTAGAATTCTGGTTAGTACACATTGGTCCATGATCTTGTCATTGAATGGAATTTCTGCATTTGAGTCCTGTTACTAAAGGAACTTACATGATACAGAGATGAAAATTAGATTATATGAACAGAAGGGAGAAGAATAATTCATAGATGTTCAGATAATTTCTTTGGTGGTGGGAATAAGGTTGACACACGTGTTATCTTTTTTTTCCTCTTTCTTTCTTTCCTTTTTTCTTTTCTTTTTTGGTTTTTCAAGATAGAGTTTCTCTGTGTAGCTTTGGAGCCTATGCTGGCACTTGCTCTCGAGACCAGGCTGGAACTCATAGAGATACACCTGCCTCTGCCGCCTGAGTGCTAGGATTAAAGGCGTGCACCACTAACGCCCAGCTGACACACGAGTGATATTAAAGCAGCTCTTTATTGTACTCACAAGCTGTTTACAATCCTGTAATTAGATGATGCCTCTCAAATGGGCTTTCCATGCCATAGTGCCTCCTTACAAATTCTTAGCAACTACACCAAACATGTCCTTCCTTTAATATCGAATACCATGAATACCTACTCTGGGTAACAATGTATATGAAATTACACACTCTACTTCCTAGACCTCAGAAGCTTCCTGATGCTGTTGATTATTCCTTGATGAATTGTCACACACAGGATAGTTTAGTCTGGTCTTGATTATTATCTGAATAGATTAATACTTTAATGTGTTCTTCAGTGTTCAATTTCTTTTACAGTCTCTGAGTTTCCTCTACCTGTTTGTAAATAGCTGTAGGTCACTCGCCACTGTTTTCTGGCAACACATTGTGTAATCCCACTAAAATTCTTTTGTTTTCTCTTGGCATTTGCATTCTAGTTTTTCTTATCAAAAGTAATAATATGTGTGTGTGTGTGTGTGTGTGTGTGTGTGTTTCTGCTTCCCTTATTACTTCCTATCTTTTCCCAAACCCTACACATTCTCCTTCTTGTTGTTTTTAGTTCATTTTGTTTTGTTTTGTTTTGTTTTTGAGAACATAATTGCATCATTTCCCCCTTTTCTAGTCTTCCTCTAACCACTCCCATGTGTCTGCCTCATTCTCTCCAAATTTGATGTCATTTATCAAATTTATAGTCTCTTTTTTCTTTGTTGTTACATGCTTGTATGTGCATAAACACACACATAATACATTCCTAAATATATACTTATAATCTTCTCAGTCCATACAATGTTACTGTATGTATGTGTCTTCAGGATTGACCATTTGGTTTCTATTTGTTTGTCTTCTCACCAGTTTCTAAGTCTTTTTGTAGTTTTACTAATGTATTTAATAAATGTATCTAGGGCTGGAGAAATGGCTCAGTGGTCAAAGGCTAGGCTCACAATCCAAAATAAATGTACCTAATACACGTGGCAAATATTTTTGTTCTGTTCATTGTCTGTTTACTGATTTTTCTTTATGGAGAATTTTCATATTTAAACATATGCTACTTTAACATAATTTCATACATGTTTCTTAACTTATCCTCCTTATATGTTATATATTGATTCTGATTGAAGTATTGACACTGTTTCCAGGCCCTATTAGTGCTACTTCCCAAGTATAGCTTTAAATAATATTTCTGTCTCCTTTTATTAGTCAATGACAATGAACATTCAATTCACTGCACAACTTAAATATTTTTAAAATTAGCATACTTTAATCTCTATTTTTCCATGCTGTATTACTTAGAATAGTTAGGAATATTATTTAGACAGTGACCAATTTATGCTACCATAAAGCTACCACTGTAGGCATGCTGGGATGTGGCTGTCTAGGTTCTGTCTGGGGTTTTACAGAGTATTCATACTTTTTCTAGCTTAATGCGAATCTAGAATAGATAAAAGTTTATTTTTACAATGTAGAGGCTTTAACTCGTTATTCTTGTGATCTTCCTCTATCTGGAGGACACTACTTAATCCGATGAGGAAATGTATTTTTCAAAAAGGTTTATATGTGATTTTCAAGGCTTTTTATAAAGAATAATAGATGGCTTTTGCTTTTTTCCCCTTTGGAATGTTTATTTACTTATTAGTTAGTTTTGTTACCATGACTGTTAAAAGTTGGCTCTTGAATGCTTCCAGAGCATGAATCAAAAGTGTGTCTTTAGAGTTCCATCATCAGAGGCTTGCTTGAGGTCCTTTCTGGACCTTGGAGATGATCTGAGGAAACTTTTTCTCAAGTTGGCAACTATTCATACACTAAAGAGAATGTTTGCAAAACTGTTAATTGCCCCAAGAAAAAGACCAGAGTTTTTGCCTTTCTTATATTTCTATCCAGATAATTAAAGGGACTTAGCTTTATTCACAATTGTATATATACAGCAGACTACTGTTCATTTACTTTTAATATTTAATTCAAATTGAATTACATTACCTTGCCTGTACCTTCCAGCCCCTCCCAGTGACCCTCCCTCAAACTCTTCACATTTCTGCTCACTTTCAAGTTTATAGCTTCGTTTGCTTTGATTGTTATTGCTGAATGTGTGTGTTTATGTATCTGAAGAAATAATTATGGCTTGCTGAGTCTGTTTTGGTTATTTGTGTGTATATGGCTTCAGGGATGATAACTATGTCATGGAAAACCAATAAGGGAAGAAGATAATCCTCTTTTCCCTAATAGTCATTAGTTGCCAATGTGTCTTTGTCTAGGGGTGGGACCCCGTTTAATTTTCCCCTTTCTATGTTAACTTGTGCATTGATGTTGGCATTGTTTGGTATTGTTTATGCAGCCCATTTCTTTCAGAGATTGTTTCACAGTAGACTTCTTGTTATCCTGGCTCTCACAATCTTTGCACTGTCTTCTTCAATGTCCCTAACAGGAACTGGAATGTAGTTGTAACCATTGGTCACCCCATGGTCTGTTGATCTCTGTGTTGTCCCATTTGTTGTTTTCTGTGCCAGTCTCCATTTACTGGAAGGAGAGGTTTCTTTGATGAGGGACAATAATGACACTCATCCAGGAATGGCAAAAAGAGAGTTTGTGGGCTGAAGTGAGGGAACCAGGCTTGAGATGTTGCTTTTCTTATTGCAACGACAAACTCCTCCATACCATTGTCATATTTTTTAAATTTTTAAATTTTTTTTGTAATTAGTTTTTTTTAGTTCAAATTAGGAACAAGCTTGCTTCACATGTCAATCCAGTCTCTCTCCCCTTCCCCCAACCCTCCCCCTAGGCAGGGTAGGGCCCTCCACAGGGGTTCCCCAAAGTCCACCACATCATCCTGGGCGGGGCCTAGGCCCTCCCCCATGTGTCCAGGCCAAGAGTGCATCCCTTCACATGGGATGGGCTCTCAAAGTCCCTTCTTACATCAGGGAAAAATACTAATCCACTACCAGGGGCCCCCTAGAGTGCAGAGGCCTCCTAATTGACATCCATGTTCAGGGGTGTGAGTCAGTCCTGGGCTGGCCTCCGAGACAGCGGTCTGCAGTCCATGTGCTCCCCCTTGTTCAGGGTTTCACTAGCCTGTTACTGACCACTTTGATCTTCATTCCTCCCTCTCTGCAATTAGGTTCCAGAGTTCAGTTAAAGAATATGGAATGCTTCATGAATTTGCGTGTCATCCTTGGGCAGGGCCCATGCTAATCTTCTTTGTGTCGTTCCAGTTTTAGTATATGTGCTGCGGACTCGAGCACCATTGTCATATTTTAAAGCCAAATTCACTATCACCTGAGTGCCTTCACACATTTCTCTTTCTCTCATCTTTTGCTTTTCCTTTTGTAATTTTATTTCCACTAATGTTAGGCATTTTAAAGTATGCTTTATGTTTGTTTCCATCTATGTTCCATTTGTCTCTGTACTTTTATCTGACCTGTTTTATTTTTTAGATATTAATCTTCTTTTCTTATATGACAAATACATCAGTGGCATTCTTAATTTTAATTACTTTAGTTTTTAGTTCTAAATATTTTATTTAAATGCATTCCAATTCTGTGGTGAACTTTCCATTTGTGCATCTAATTTCTGCTGTGTAGATC